TCATAAGAGCAAGGAGTGGACGTAATTCCTAAGTATATACAAAGGTATAAGATTACCAGATTGCGTAAAGAAAGTAAAATATCAAGGGGTACATCCCATAGATATACTCAAGGAAATTCCTCAATCTAACGGCGCTCCTCCAAGTGCAAAACATAACAATACCATAGGAAATCCTCCGATCTATAATATATGTTCTTCCTGTACATTCCAAAACACTAAGGAGATTCCTCCAGTGTATCTGACCATGCGCAGCTGCTATATTTTTCCTACATGGAATCGCCACGCACTAATTCCTCCAACCACGCATGGTTAACCAAATCTGTCTTGCCACACTTATTTCTTCAAGAACACGAATCCTGAGAACTGCGGAGAGCTCCTTCAGGTATGAAATGCGCGACTAGAGTGAAGAAAATTTGGTGGCTGTGACAGTGTAGCGGAGACAGAGGATGCTTTAAAGTTAGAGATTTTTTTTTTTTTGTTTGACTAATTTAAATTTTTGTTTATGGGACAAAAAGGCATATGGAGTGCTAGCTATAATACCTAAAAAACTGCCCCCTCCCAGACCAGGCCAAAGAACAAAGCTAAAAGAACCCTCTGGGGTAGAAAAAACTACTCCCGGCCGTAATCCTTCCCGTAAACTGCTCCACCTGATAACCCCCACCACCAAGCAACCAAAGAAAGCTAACGACCTGACAGTGAACCAAGAACCTGCTAAAATCCTAAGAACGAAACACTAAAAGACAGAAACTGAAACCGAACCCTTCAGGGCCAACAATCACAACTCAAAAGCCCGTAAAAGGCACCCCTAGGCCATATGACAACGGCCAGGAGGAGGGAGCCGAAGCCCAGGATGTGAAGGGTATAAGGGAAACCACGCCAAAGACGGCGACAGAGAAGTAAGGAGGGGAGGTGTGTGGCAGGCATGCCAGTGACTATGTGTCCTCCGGGACATTCGACGATTATGGCAGTAAGGTACCAGCTTGAGAGGAGGAGGCAGTAGGGTGCCAGCCGATCTGACTGTGGAGAGGAGCCCTAAGCGAAGCAGGTATTTTACCACGTCTCTCATGTAGTCCCTTGTTCTGGGAGAAATAGCGTCACTGTAGTGGAAGGGATCCCACCACCTGGTAGTCAAAAAGGCCCCAAAGAGTAGAGGAGGGGTAGACCCAATTCTGTGAACAACAACTATCAGTAACCGCATTCGTGTCTGACGGGGTAGCCTCTTACGGGGGCAAGAGAATGGAGAGATCGACTGTAGCCTGTAAGCTGTTCTCTCCTACTGCAACTGTAGTCCTGGCCATCTGTTGAAGGTAGAAAAGGGGGTTGCCAACGGTGCCCACACCTAAGCGAAGCGGGATTGGAAGAGGAAAAACATCACAAAGATGAACCCCCAACCATGGATGGAACCGAGAGAATCAAGAAATAAATCATGACTTAAAGGAAGAGGGGAAGTGAGCCCACCTCCTGTAGTCGAGGCTGGATGGAGGGAGATGGGGGGTGGTGGTGGTGCTAGAGGATGAAAGCCACAATAGTAACCATGGTGTGGAGTTTTCAATTGCCAGAAGTGTAGTGGAGACGGAGGATGCTTTAAAGTTAGAGATTTTTTTTTTTTGTTTAACTCATATATTCTTTGTTAAGGTACAAGAACCTGCATGGAGCGCTAGCTATGGTAAAAACAGAACCTTAATTCCAAACGCAATTCCCCCGCACCCCAGGGACTAAAACAACCCCCCCAAGACTATCTGGTGTGGGCCTAACCGCTGATCCCGCCCCATACAGAAACGATCCTCCTCCACAGGAAAGGCAGGAGAGGGAAGAAAACCCTTCAGTGTCATCTCGATAAAGGAAAAAATAGATTAGGAAACCCCCAAGTGCCTCTACAGGTGTCCGTAAACAAATATGTCCGCTGTCAGGCCTACTGTAAGACCCTGGCGAAATGCCATGATGGGGCCGGCTAGCTCAACCCAGGAGATAGTACAATACCAAGGTAGGCCAACTAGTCATTCAGCCAGCAGTGGGCCACAAGCGTGGAGGGAGGAAGACAGGCAAGGAATGCCAGCAACCTTTGATAGAAGGAGCAGCCGATACTGCCAAGGAGGGAGGACGTAGACTCCGGCTGTGAGGAGTCTGGTTGTGGAAAAGGCTGGATGATGCCTGTGGTGACATCAGAGCCAGGAGAGGACTGTAGCGCTGTCACGAGGATGGCAGAAGTGAAAGAAGCACCAGGAGATCCTGCTGCAGAGGGAGGGCAGGAGGGGCAGGCTGGAGCACTACCTCCTCAGTGGTGATGGGAGCTGAGGGCCCAGGCAGTAGAGTGCCAGCCAATCCTGGCAGTAGGGTGCCAACCGATCCTGAAGGAGAGGAGAGGAAGAGGGCAAGGCAAACAAAGATCAGGCCAAACGATATGGTGAGAGGCTGCAACTAGGGTCACAGAAGTAGCTGGTGTTTTACCGCATCTCTCATGTAGTCCCTTGTTCTGGGGGAGATAGTGTCACTGTAGTGGAAGGGATCCCACCACCTGCCACTCCCAATAGCCCAGAGGACCACCAGCCCATCTGACCGTCAAACCATCACCCAGCCGCCAAAGCCGACCATGCAGATGCTAAGCAAGGTCTAGCAAAAGCGGGGTAGAGAGGAGAGAGGCCTCACGATGAGACCCCCAGGGAGAGGAGAGGACCGCCATCAAGCAGAGGCGAGATGCCAGATGAGGGAGAGGATGGAAGAGAAGCCCCAATAGGCAGAAGGATGAAAAGCATCAGCCTGCACCCCCTAGTAGGGGGGTGCAAGGTTAAAGAAAAGTGGTAATAGTTCCTTGGTGTTGGGTAGTTCCCAATTAGGAAATATTTTTCAATGACCGGAGGTGTAGCAGAAACGGAGGATGCTTTAAAGTTAGAGAGATACCTTAATATTTATATTCAGCATCTAGATAGATGTATGCTATATTAGTTTTCTTACTAACTATGTAACTGCTATAATAATAATTTAGTACTCTAAAAGTACATACTTCTTTTAGTTCTAAGAACTGACTACCTTGCTCTTATACTAGATGGAGTAATTAGCTTGCTCAAAGAACAGATTAATATCTCTTTATATACAGAATCCAAACCGCAGGATAAGGATAACACTCTTAGCTAATAATTGGTTTGTTTATTATCATTAACTAATTGTAGTCTAGTCCTACTATTTTCTTTCTATCTAATATTGTTTGATTATTCACTTACACAACTAGGTACAAAGATTACATAAATAGGTATTTCTAGAAAGTCTAGGATCCTGCACTAGTATGGTACTAGAAATCTCTAACTACAGTCCACTCACCTTCCATATGCAGTAGAAAACTCTCTAGAGTAGAAAAATCTACATCTCATAAAATGAGCCTAAATACTACAAACCAAAAATCCCTTTCATACAAATATACAGGAGTAAAGGAAACCTCAACCCCAATAGTGAGACCAAGTTAGACACCTAAATTACAAACCCTACACTCCACCAAAGAAGCAAGATACCCTCTATAGTGTCCCACCCCCATAGCTAAAGCTACTATAATCTATAGTCAACTACTCTAGAGTACCCCTACTACTCTGGTAGTATACTGTAGGGGAAGAGTGAGTAGCCACTTAAGGAAGGAGAACAGAGGGTAAAGAGACAAGCTAGTAGCATTTGATTAAAGAAGGAAGTAGTAGAACCCAAAGGTGGAAGCCAAGTCATGTTATATGGTAGGTAAAAGTAACCTGTACCTACCAGAACACAAGATAAGAGGCAGTAAGGTGCTAGCTTAAAGATAGATGACTCCTAGGAAGTCTAATCTGTAGTAGAGTGAGGAGGAGGAGGAGAAGGAGGAGGCAGCCAAGACACCTAGACAGAGGGAATACCAGCCCTGAGGAGGAAATACCAGTTCTGCCCAGGGAATGCCAGTTCTGCAGAGGAGATACTGGCCTAGCTGAGAGGGTGTCAGTGTAGTAGTAGGTTGCCAGTAGAAGAAGGGTGGTTGGAGAATGCCTGTAGTAATATCAGAGCCAATTAGAAAAAGACACCAACTGAGGCTAGTTAGGAGAAAGCAGGTAGAAGAGCTGCTCCATAATAGTAAGAAGGGCAGCTAAGTACTCAGGTAATATGGCACCAGCAGATCATGGAAAACAGGAGGAAGGCTAATACAAATTGGAATAGAATAATACAGATGAAGACTGTATACCAGGATCACAGAAGCCAAGTCCAAGTCCTAACATAATGCAGGTGTATTATTATATTTCTTATATAGTCTTTTTTTCTTAGAAAGATATCATCACTTAGTGGATAGGATACTACCACTATGCAAAGTAAGGAGGCAAGGAAACAAGACAGCTAATAACCTAGATAGCTACTGAATAGACTCACTGTCCCTTCTCATCAAAGCTGACCATGCCAATGCTAAGTAAGTATAGCAAAAGCAGAGTAGAAGTAGGAATAGGGGTATCATGAGATAACCCCTGGGAGAGAAGAGAAGCCTCCAGGAGGAGTCCCCAAAGGCAAAAGCAAGTCCTAGGGGGAAGGGAAGTGAGGAGGGATGGCCTACACCCCCCCAAGCTGGGGAGGATGCAGGACCAGAAAACAATGGTGATAGTCCTCTGACATTGAGTTATTCCCAAATAGGAAATAAATTTCAATGACCGGAGTTGTACCAGAGAGGGAGGATGCAGCACGAGTAGTCTGCCAATACCGGTACTGGATGCACCGGTGTGGTTGATCCCATATCATCCCACGAGTACGGTACTCGAGTATTATGACTTAGCTATTCGCACCATCCTCCCTACTATATTAGACTACGCATGTCGCGGGGATTCATGGGCACGATGGGTTTAGTATGGTACTGTGTAAAAAGGCATCTACTCCTTCGACTACGGTATGAAGCTCCTCATCTCCCTGGCAATGATTTCGTGCAAAATCCTGGATCCAAAGCCTTGGTTTAACTCAAGATCAAAATACCCAACCCCGGTCGGTGGGAGGGTGAAAACAACAGGGAAAAATAAGGGAGAAAACTTTTGATTTTATTCCCACAAAAGGCGAAAATTTTCTGTGAGGAAGAAGAATGCAAACCACCCCAAATCGCAACTGCCAAGCCACAGAGCCCATGAAAATAAAATAGTGAGAACTAGGAGACGATAGAATAGAATGAGGTGGTAGAAGAAAATAAAAATGAAGAAACAGGCATAAGTCAGATTCTGGTATGATAACGAGAAGATGAAGTGAAAACAAATATCAAGCCCTTATGAACACCGGTTCCCGACCCCCATGAAAGAACCCAATCACTCCCCAACCCGTGATGACTACCCTCGCGAAATTGACTTCGTAATAAAGAGTAAAAATCCCACACATGCAATGTTCCATGTTGAAGGAAAGACGGTGTGAGAAAACGCACAAAAGAAGAGTGGTAATGAAAATGCTCCCAATTACAGACCACCGGTAACCGTGCCCCCCAAGTGAAGCCGACCGCAATGTGACTCGCAGAGGGCAAAAGGAAAAAAGGGGGAAAAATGGAAATCACTACAGTAGCGACCTTGATGCTATAGAAAGTATAAATGAAATGGCAATGGAAGATTGGCATAGGGCAGAACTCATATTTCATTGGCTACTAGCCAATGTACTCACTAACGGCCCTTATCCCCCAAAGCATTTCTCCCATAAACTGCGCTTGACAGGCAAGTAATGAGAGCAAACACTTTTCTTCGGACTTCAATCCACCAATTCCTTGACCAACCCCTGCCCAGTCCGCTAAACTGACCATATCTGGCTGGGCGCATATCCTCTTAAGATACCGCCTAGCGCCTTTATCTAAAAGAACCTTAATCTCGCTGTACCTAAAGTCATCCTTCTGGATACCCAACAGCCTCAGACTATAAAACCAGGCGGCCTCCTTAAAAGACTGGGCGGAGAAGTCATATCCGGGCGGAGAAGAGGCAGACAGGCCAGGGGAATTGAAGGATCTGCCGATACGATCGTGTCGTTCAGACAAATTGTGCTCGTGATTAGAATCCAAATCGTAAAACTCGCCGTCACCGGGAGTTCTCGATGACCCGTCGTCGCCTCTACCGGGGGAAATCTCGTCATTCAGTCTCTTTCTCGGTGGTAATGTTTCCACAGCAGCACTGAAAAGGACATCCTCTTCTCCATCTGCCTCCTGGGCTTCCTTAAAGTATCGGTCCAACAGCTCAACCACGCCATCGAGATAATCCGAGATAATGCTACTGGCGTTGCGTTCCCATTCAAACTCTTCCATGGGTAAAAATTCGTATTCGTACGAATTTGGATCGAAGTCCTTGTATTCATGGTCCAGGCTCTCTGCATGTAGGAACCGAGCATAATCTTCAACGATGATGTTGGCGGGGACTTGATCCCCGAGCAGGCTAGTATCGAAAAGAGAACTGGTGGAGCTGGAGGGAGAAAGGAGAAAATCCCTCGTCTGGGATGGCAACGGTCTACCGTTGGAAAGACTAGAAATCGGGACATAACTGTTTGGAGCAGATAGGGAAAACCCGCCAAGGCCGGTCGCTGGGGGTGGAGCATCATCACTAGCTGCGCATTCCTCGAACGATTTCCTCCGTTTCTGGCTCTTGGCGCGGCGATGATGCCTCTCCATCTCCTCCGCAGTTCCTAATGTCGACTGTGCCTTCCTAAGTGGGGCAGTAGGCACATCCACAGGCTCTGATGAGAGCAGTGGACTCGTCATGTTGGCTGGATCCGATATAAATGGTACTCCTCCATTGGGAGTTTTCCTCCATTTCCCAGGCAATTCCACGGGCTCCTGACCCTCCGCCGCTTGCTGCTGGCGCTTCCTACAAACCCCAGACTTGCCAGGCTCTTCATCCCGTTTTACAAGCGCGGAATTCTCACTTGGCTCGGCAGATATTGAAGTAGTAGCGAAACTTCCGAAGGGGGCCACGGGCGTACACTTTTCCATGGTTTTCACTGTTCCTCCCAGTAAGTCTGCCTCCGGAAGAATTGCCCAAGCTAGGGCCATTGCTGATTTAGAGTGGTAGAAGCTCATAATACATATCGCCTGTACAACTTCCGCCATGGTCCACCTTTGCTCCGGGTCCATATTACTACCCTCTTCTCCCCGAACCAGCTCCTTGATGTCGTCTGGAGTGATGGTCCAGGGTCTGTGTGCTAGTAGCATATTTAGCTTGGAAATCCTCTGTAATTTGCGGGGCGTGTATTGAAGACCCTTGAGCCATTGTCTATCGCCTCGCACTGTGAGAAATTTCTCCGAAAGTAGAGAAAGGTAGTATTGGCACTTTCTCTCTGCCGACGAGATGATTCCTAGGTATATCCTCCACTTCTGGGGCAATGGCCCATTCCCGGAATCGTCGGAGAGGAACAGATCCGTAGTCTCTCTATTGATTTCGGCAAACTGGGGAAAGAAAAAGAGTATCTTGTTGAGGTTTCCAACCCTCCCAGTACGCATATACGCGTTAACCTGAAGAGCCCTAACTTCTTCACTTGGTGGCTTGGGCTTAGGTAAGTATTTGGGTATTGGTCGACGTGCTTGGCGCCTCTTGACTTTGTAGGACGCGCCGACGCCGTTCGGTGGGGATGGCGGAGTTTGGAAGAGTGAGGAGACCATTGAGACGGTAGTCCGACGGTTACCTCTACCAAAAGAGCCGATCGGAGTTCTACCACGTGATGTCGAACGGGGACGCTCTCCGTTTGCCGAGCCCTTGTTTGGATCGGGAATCATTATTCCAGAAGCAGAGCTCAAGTTTCCGTTAGACTCTCTGGGAGAGAACGAGATGCAATCTTCTTCATCCTCGGATGGAATGTCGGAAGGTGTTGGAGACTTGGGGTTTGGGGTTGCAGGGGTCCAGGGGTCAAAGTTCAGTCCAATAGTTTCATTTAACGGAATGAAGAAGGAGGGACCACGGACAGGAACTTCCGGCAAGCGTGCACCGGCTTTCTATTACAATAACCATCAGTTTCAAAACGACCGTGTATTAAGTTATCGGTGGGGGGGAAGCGACTAATGATAACTAGCAAGGATGGAATGATAAGAGTGTACCTCTGCTCGCTGCAGGATCGCCCTGCATCCTTTCCTAACATCCTTGAAGGGACAATCGATTGAGAACCTCAATAGCCATATATAAAAGTTCTCTAGGTTTGTTTTCATCTCCTCAACGCCCCAGGTTTCCTCTGCAACCTGACGTCCAGTCCAAGCGAGGTCTCTATTAGCAAAATCGAGCTCGGCCAACCATTTATTGCCGAATCTGACCGCCCCATCAGCAAAGCTTCCGGAAGTATCTGTTGGAGATACGGCGAATTCTCCGGACAAGGCCGCCCAACCATCGTCCCTCTCGGGCGTGAGGGGCAAGAACGAGTTGTGTATCGAGTCCTTCCTCCCGAAGTGGTCCAATACTGATGAATCATCGCCGTCTACCCCGAATACGTCCTCAAAGTGCATTTTGAAACTGGAATCCCGTCTTAGTATACTCTTGGAGGAAGGCGGTGCCGGCGATGTTCCAGAGCCATTGCTTTGCTGTCTCGCCAGTGGTGGTCTTGTCAATCTCGGCGACATGGAAGAACCGGATGATGTCCTAAGGTAATCTTGCCATGCTGAGGTCCAATGGTCCACTACCAAGCCGAGGATTCTTAGAGCGCTGGTCCTCAGAATGGGCTCATCATCAAAGAAGCAATTGAAAAGGCCGTGGCGAAATAAATTGGCCATTTCTGGAGTCACATGTCAGCTCGAAGGGCCCTCTCACCAGGTCGTTAAAAGGTATTACCGAGTCTTGGGGAGTTCTTATCTCCCACCATGTCCAACGACCTTTCTCCGGATTGACCTGGGATACGGCTTCACTTCAGTTGGTTATTCTGCCACAGTACGGTACGGCTCTAGGAGACTAGGATATCGCTAGGTTGACAATTCTAGCGGAGGCCGCCAAACAATGTATTGAAAAACTAAAATTGTATCGCCGCCGAGAAACTCCCATACGCTAGAGCAAATGGCAAGGGGAAAAAACAAAAAAGAAAGTCGAGGCCAGTTCAACAGGATATGAGGCTATGGATGAACCGAAGGGGTCAAGTGAAAAGGCGTGAAAACTTTGCTATGTCTAAACAAGCAAGACAGTTTCGAAGGAATCAGGGAGCGAGGGATGAGAAACAAAAGGCAGGTGTTGTGGGATAGGATGGCTTAGACTTAAGAGAACGTGTTGAAGCCTTGCTACCGTGAGTACCGGGAATTGTGATAGGGCACACCGATAACTAGCGGTGCAAGATCGCTGACAGGTCAAGAGACAGACGCACCAAACAGGGCAATTTTGTCTGACGAGTGAGCGGACCGAGCAGAACCGGACTAGATAGCTTCCGGTAGTAATTCCTAGGGGTTGGCAAGGCAACTGTGCAATGACGACAAGAGGGAGCTGAGGAGAGAAGAAAAAAAGAAAAAAAGAAAAAGATATAGAACTCGAGAACGAGGCAAAAATAGGAAGGAGGAAAAAAAACAGAAAAAAAAAACAAGGGCTAACACCAGTTTGTCTGATCGTGAATAAGGGACTGGGGTTGTATCGACAAGAGCTGGTTCCGAGGCCGGAGGGCGGCGGTTGGTGTCAGGTTTCCGGATCAAACTGCTCAAGATTTTTCGACCAAGATTTGTGCGAATGCACTAAGGTAGTAGTGGGAGTGGTAACAGGAACACAGATTCGTTGGGGGTTGGTGGGGAGGGTTAAAAAAAAAAAAAAAAAAGGTGGATGGGGGGTGGTCGAGGACGAGAAGGCTATCCGGCTCGAAGTTATCGGGAAGGGAGTGAACAGTACGAGTACGAGTAGGTGAGAGAATGAAGGAGGGAAGAGGGAAGCAAGGGAGGTTAGCAGGCCAGTGGGCGGGCAAGCGGGCGGGCCAGACAAGTGGGCGTGGGTTGAGGCAGAGGTTGTGGTTGCTTGGAAGTTTAAAACGGTCAGTGGTGAAGTAACGTCAAAACCGCACCAACAGGGTATTGCCCAACATCACCAACTTTCCAGCGACAGGCATACAAGCGGGGAACAAGTAGAAGGACGACGATGATTTCTTTTGTTTTGGTTGCTGCTCCGATGGGTGGGACAGGGCATGTAATTTAGTTGAGTGGATCCTACCGTACGTATGATAGGGTACGGGATGCGCAGTGGAAGCAAGCAAAAGAGAGGCAGAGCAAATATGGCAACGCTAATTTATCAGAGATGGGGAAATGGAATGGCAGATGACTTTTCCTGGGGAAGCGGTGTCTGGGCGGCGGTTTCCGTCCCGTCTTTTGGAGAGTGTACTCGTGCTGTACTCGTACTGTACTGTACCGGCAGGGAGCGGTATGGTGTCGGTATTTATTGTACCCGGCGAAAGGGCGGAGGAAGGACCAACTAAAGCGCTAAGATCAGTAGAAGGGGAGGGAGAAGGCGGAAAAAGCGTGGAATTTGGAGTCTGATACAAGAGCTAAACCTTTCTCTCTCGCTCCTAAACACTCGCTCGCTCACGAAAATCACAGCGTCCGATCAGTATTTTGTTCTTGCCAACCTCGACTCCGCATGTGCAAAGGCGGGGAAGCGATCATGGGTGGTGGAGATAATAGGGCAGGGTATGATATATGTACTAGTACAGTGCCCGCTGGTGTATGCTGGCTGAAAAGATGCACGGGGCGATGGATGGAGCTTGTTGCTGGAAGAGCGGACGGCGAACGCTACTTTGGATCCTCCCCCGCCAGGCTGTGGTATCAGATCAGGGGACGGTGTGGTATCAGACGCGTGGGATAGGAGGCTGGTTGCTGGCGGGGATGGCGATGGCGATGGGAAATGGAGAGGAAACACAGGAACAAACAAACCAAAAACAGGGCATGGAATTCTGTGAGGTATCATGGTAGCCGGCACAATACCGGTAGTGCAATGGGAGAGATGGGACCAAAGGGGATATCGGGTGCTCTCCCGGCTACCAATCTCCTGTCGAAGCCAAAAAGCCACCGAATCTGGTCATTCAGTCTTTTGTCGCTCCCCGTTTCTCATACGGCAGGCACCCCATTCCCGTAAGCCAGTCCTGCTGCCGTACCATTTACTTGTACGGCACGGGTAGCACAGGCAACGACAAGGCGATGGGAAGAAACGAGATTGGCCCGCACAGATATCCCTTCCCGTGATGCGTGCTGCTTCTTTGGGGAAGCTTAGCTCTGGTCGCCAAGTGAACACCCCACGCGACCCACGTTTTCGTCACTCCGACACCCCCTTCTTTGGAGCCCTTTGTTACAACATGTGCCGGGAGGTTGTTCCGGTGGTCCAACTTGACCCTCAGGGCGAGTACGAGTGCCGGCAGAGTATTAAATTGGGCGTCACCTGACACGTATTATATCATTCATTCGTCGCTATCATCATCGCCCCCGAGATTGCAGGAGTTGAGGCTTTCCGGGTGCCAGCTAACCTCTGAATCGAACTCCCGGGGGCTGTCTTTTCCACCCCTTCCATCGTGCGGTGTAACAGTTCCGCATTCATATACCCGAGCCCAAAAAACCAGGCTCGTTCTTCGAGCACTGGGGGAGTATGGTACGGTAGTGGTGGATATGCGGGTTGACGAGGTTAGATGGGCCAAGGTTTAGCAATTTTTTTTTTTTGGCGTCCGGGAGACAGCTGTGATGCGGTACTCGAGTACTCGTACTGAGGGCGTCACGACCCAGAACCGGGGATAGCGATGAAGTCACCATACCGGTATGATACTAGAGGATAAAATTTTACGATGGATCATCATACCTGGTCGATGTGGGCCTTCCCCCCCCCCCTATTGGTCGGCACTTGTCTCTCAGGGTTCCCCTCCCAAAGTATCGTCCAACGATGCCAACGGCCCCCTTCGCACCCGCTTTCAATAATTATCTGCGACTTCTTCCCATGACTTTTAAACGAATATGGGAACAATCTCTCGACTATGATGATTTACGGTGATTTTTGGCAGCAATATCTGTGGTCTCTCAACCTTGTTGGCTCGACGTCGCTGATTTGACGTGCCAATTTGTTTGGAGGTACCGGTACGGTAGACGAGTACCGCCTCAATGTTCTCACCTTTGATGTGAAACTACACCCCATCATAGTGAGTTGCTGCATCTCGACAAACCTCCAACCGGTACTGTATCGAATTGCCCATGTACGAGTACTACGCCAGGTCCCTTGGCCCAGGATAGTGACTAAACCTCCAACCCCAAGTTAGTAGTTAGTACGCAACGATCTCTACGTCCAGTACCGGTATTTCAGCATTTGGTATGACACAGCTGGAATATCTGAGGACATAGCTTGGGTGTGGGCAGAGGAAAAAAAGAGAAAGGAGGAAAAGCTTGGGATGGTGGGGAATGGATGCTTTCAGGGAGGGGCATGTTTTCCCCGCATCTCGAATGGTTCCCTGTCATGCAGACGCCCCTCCGGAATCCCACACACACCTTTAATTAGAGTTCTAATCGTTTACTCGAGTACCGGTATTATCTCGACGAGTACAGACGAGAGGACAAGTGTTCCTGGCTACGGTTCTCCCATCAATTTTTTTACTGCAGCCAACTACAATAAAAATTCGGTGCGGCAGGCTCCTTTGGCCAAACCGGTCACCGGAATCGGTGAAAGGGTCCCTCAACACTTTGTTTCACTGGGTGGTAAATCATGCCCCCTTGGCCTTTTACGAGTACTTAACGTGCCCGCCTGATACTCGAGTACCGGTATGTGATACCGTATAGCCACCGCGCATCCACGGAGAGCGGTCGATTGGAGGACATGCATAACAGACCAAAGAGCCTTTCATGTTCCACGGTGCTATTTTTTCTGGCTTCCTCGCATACGCCCCAATTTTCCAGAGATGAAATACTCCGCTAGAAGCACAAATCCTTCCCACCGAGATGGCACGATATTGGATCTCTCGGAGTTCAGGAGATGGACTGCCTGGTTACACGCGACCATGTGTTCAAGCCGGCCGATCCATCCATTTGCTTTTGTGAGCAAAAAAAAACTAAAAAAGGGAGCAAGTTGCGGGTAGGGCCGGGAACAGGAAAGGCGACCTCCTCGGTTGCTGGCACTCTTGCTCAGGTCCAAGTTCTCTCTGGGAGAGAACAAAATGAAATAAAAGACCTTGGAGCCTGGAAAATTTAACCAGTGGATCCCCCTGATCCCGGAAGGTCTATTCCGCTTGGTCGTCTGCTGGTGGTTCGCAGTTGATAGAAAGGCTGCAGTGCTTGAAGGGGTGGACTGGAAAATAGTTGACCCTGATTACTAATTTTTTTTTTTTGGAGGGAGTTCAGTTTCATCACCCCTTCCCACTCCATGCAGAAACGCTACAGATATAAACCCGGCGGCTTATCTAGCTTTACATAATCGCATCAATTATCATTATGAGGACTTAAGGCCGGAATCCTCCAGAAACCTCACTGCCCCCAAACACATCATGCCGGGCCGAAGTCGTGATTGCCCATTTACATAGAGGGGCCTTATGTCTGGCCTGTGCCAATGCAGTGATCTCATTTCCGTCTGTGCGGGTATTTGGCTACGTAGGCACGACAACGCAGCGATTGCAACTTTCAGGGTGGTCTATCATAAAAGCAGAATCAGCGCCCGAGATCATCGCAATCCAACCAACCATAAGGGAGGAAGAACTGCAAGTAGAAATAGAAACACCCGGGTATATACAACGTGGCTAGTTATGCCCTGCCCTTGTGGCTCTCTTGCCGGGGGGCTCTTCTATATTCATGGGTGGTCACTCGAATCGTAACAAATGCGCTAATGTGTAAGCCACTGGCTTGTGTGGAGCATGGTTTGGGCCTAACTGCATTGACCGAACCCCGGACCGCGAGTTTGCTGGGAGGTCGCGGGGAGTCTGATATTTCTCTCAAATTTTACTTGGTTGCATTTTTGCAATGGTTGGCTCTGTTTTTGTTATAATAGCGGCTATCGCGCAAAGTACCGCACGAGAAACCCCGACCCGCGCTGCTATCTTAA